CCTATAATCGACCACTTCACCCTCCATCCTCTCAGCCGCGCAATTGAACTTCTCTCCCCTTTCAACCCACCACCCGATCTCTTTCACTAGCCTCCATATTTCAATTCGCAACCACTCCCGATAAAACAATAATTGATTTTGAGATTAGGTTTACGAGTCAAAATAACAAAATACTTGATTTTTTAGGGACTTAAGGGTGAAACTTAATTTTTATAATTCATAAAATACTTTGAAATATGACAGGAGTTGATAATTGGACCAGAGTGAAGAATGAAAAAAACGCTTAGAACCAGAGTATGAAAATCTTTAGTTTTGAAAATAGGTTATTTTAATAATTTTGACTTTTTATGAAAAAATATGTAGAAAAGTAAAGAGAATGATATGATAATTTATAATAACTTTTAAACTAAAATATATAATTAATAAATGAGGACTTACTTTAAAAGTGAAAGTGTAATTTATCTTTGAGTAATGATTGAGACTTTCACCCACACAAGACTCCTATAAATTTGAACCATTCATAAATTATACATATATGAGTGAACCCCACACATATATGAAAGATCAATATCACGTTAAAAATGTGAAAATAATTCCCAAAGTAGTCCCAAACATTTTCCTTTTATCTTTTAGGTATTTATGAAACACATATGTTAGGTGGTCTCAAAACTCTCAATAGGGAGTGTGAGAGGAGTTTTTAACGTGGTGTTGTTTTCGTAGGTGTGTAGGGTGAGACAGATGTGTTAGTCTTTAGCCACGGAGGTAGGGTTTTGAGCTTTGACTCTTTTTCATGAAATCCATCGCAATATGGTGCACAAAAACATTATTGTAAAGAAAGAAAAATGTTTAAGGCTTCTAAATTTATAATTTGTTCTACGTTGATATAATATGATAGATATTTATTTTTTATTTAATAGGGTATCTCTAATCCTTCATCAAATATTTTATTAAATTTAAGTAAAAATTTGATTTGATACGATATATTCTAACCCTTTTAATAAATCTAGCCGGTTATCAGTTTAGATTAAATTTTTATCAAATTCATTAAAAAATCAATTGTTCGGGCAGATGTCTGTACTGATATTCGGTCCAACAGTCATCTACAAATTTGATAAAAAAATAAACATACTCTTCATTTGATAAAAAAAAGTATAACTTTTTTCATTTGATATTAAACTGATGAAATGATTGGAACACTATTTTTATCAAATTTAAAAATTTGATAAAAAATCTTATGAAGAATTAGAAATAATCTTATCAAATAATAATATAAAATTTAATTTTTTTTATGAATAAATTTATGACTCTTTTTAAACCCTTTTCCACAATTGCAAGTTATTCAATTTGGGTAGTTGTCGGTACGATCCTCTCTTTCTTTAACCCTCATAATGTTCCCCTAAATTAAATTTGGTGTGAGTGAGTGCACACAATATCATGCAGGCATTTATTTGCATGCATGGGGTTGTGTGTGGACCATTGGACATCTAGTCTTAGTAATTTTAAGCTTCAGCTTGTCTCATGTATGAATTTAAAATTGAATTGTTTAGTTTAGTTTATGAGTTTATTTTTGAGTTTTGTTTTGATAATTTAAATTGTTAATATGTAAAAGTTATTGAGTATTATATTCTTGTAGAAAAATTATGTTAATTGGATATCGATAGCTATTTGATCGGATCAGATTTCTATCAATCGTTTATTTTTTCATTGTCCATTTTTTTATACAAATCTGATCCGATCAAATAGCTATCGATATTCGATTAACGTGATATTTTAGAAAGATATAGTACTCGATGAGTTCTACAAATTGAACAGTTTGAATTATCAAAACGAGGTGCAAAAATGAGCTCATAGGCCGAATTGAATAGTCCAATATTAACCTTAAATATGTGACAAGTTAGACCCTAATCTTAAATCACTAGGACATACCTTCAATAAGTATGTTTTGAAAAGGCCAAGCTTCCACCAAGCAATAGTATGTTTTATTTTGATGATTTAAATTATTTATTTTATAATAATTTATGAGTAAATTATGTATATAAAAAATTAAATTAATCGAATATTAATAATCACTTGATGTATGAATAATTTATTCGATTGGTTTTACAAGATAAACAATTTGGATTGTCAAAGTAGACTTAAAATGAGCCCATAGTGAGTCGGACTAGACCGCCCAATCACGGATATCTAACTGAAGAGAATCCATGTGTTGTGTAAATTCAAATGGATTCTGCTAATGACTTCCCTAAGTGATGTCTTAAAAAAAAATTCAAAATATCTATAATCTTAATATACTTTTTGTATATTTCAATACATTTTTATATATTATTTACACATTTTCTAATTATAACAATAGTCTTAAGGGCTGAGATATAGAATAATTTAATTAACATATTTTGTTTTTGGAACAAATTTTAGATTTTTTTTTTTTTTTTGGATGCCTTCCTAAAACAATAATCGTAAGGAGCTCAAAATAGTTATTTGAAAGTTATCAAAATAAATTATGTAGATCGAATTTATTTTAGATATTGCTTGCATAATATTAAATTTGAATTCATTTTATCTGAATTTATATCATATGTTTTATATTTTGGTGAATATTTGAACTACCCAAACTTATTTATGGCATACTATTTTGCGCAAGTAACAAAGTTATGAAAAAAAAATAGTTCAAACTATCATTTTGTTTTAAAAATTGTGAGTCATAGCTAAAATGATTGTAGTTCATATCTGTATTTTTATGGGTAAGTTTTTTGTTATTTATTTATTTACTTTTTTAGTGCAGAGTAATTTTTATGATTTTTTTTTTAAGGAAACCTTCATAAATAAATTTTTATGATTATTGTATATATAGTATTGTTGCTTTAGTACACTAACAAAGAAAAACAAAAAAAAATGAAAAAGAAAAAAGGGGTCATTATGTCTACCCAACAGCGGATGCCAAACTTGATTGTAGTGGAAGGGATTCAATCGCACGACATGTTTTATGTCATCCACAAATTTTCGAACCCAAAAGCTAACACAATTTTTTTTTTTCTTTTTTTTTTTTTGTGCAAACTATTTTCACAAATTATATAGAAAACTGTGATTTATTATTATAAATTCATTTAAAAATATAAGTGGCGTCGTTTTGATAATAATTAAAGTATATCGCTTGTGATAACACCATTGTGAAGAAAATTTGTATAAACAATTTCCTTCTTCAATTAGAGCTATACAAACATAAAATTCATAGTATATTTTTATTCATTACAATGTTATAGAAAGTGTATATGCTTGATTTGTATTTGGAAAATTATTTGATGCTCTTGAATTATAGTCATTTGATATCTTAACTTTATTTTTTATCGATTTAAACAGTGGGATTTATAATTTTATTTTTATTATTATTATTTTTTTTTTTATGTATGGGGTGGGAGGTGGGGAAGGGGGATGAGACAAGTGTCACAAGTTGAATGGAGTGGAGCATTGCTCAAAGACTAACACATAATCTATAAATATATTTTTTATGTAAATCATTTTCTTATGATATTATATGTTTGTACAATATTTTTCGACATGTAGAAATGATGTTTTTGAAATATAAGACAAAATGATGTATCTTTTGTTTTAAAATGGCAAAATCATGTATATTAATTTTATGGACAAATTTTATGTTTATATTAATAATGATGCACAAACATAACTTTTGTACAATTTTTTTATTTTATTTTTATATATATCAAAAATGATGTGACTTCTTATAACTCTTTCATTTTTAATCAAAACACCCATTATTGTTCACATAATTTCACAAAGACTGATTCATAGTCGAAGTTTAACAATTTTACTAATAATGACATGATCGATGAAATTACCCTTTCTTCTTTGTGTAATAATATAAGGGATTGTTGCTGCTGCTTATATGTAAACTTTTAATTTGTCACAAATTTAACTATAAAATTTAACTTTCTTATCATATCATTATGAGTGAATTGTAAAATTTAAATTATAGGTGTCTACCACTTTTCTTCGATGCACGCGCACACATATATATATATATATTATACTCTTGCCAAAAACCTTTAAAATATTATTATTAAATTCACTTACAACAACGTGGCACAGATTTTGTCATAGGTGTTTCGTTCGCACATGAATCAAAAATTGATATATGTAACAAAGGGGTGCACACCATAGAGTTTTCTATTGAAGATACATTTAGAAGTGAGATCTTAAAGGTCTCATACTTTTTTCATAAAAAAATCTAGGGAAAATTGCACTTTAGTGTAAGTTTTTTAAAAAATTACAAATCAGTAAAAGTTTTTATCAATTTTAATAATTAAGGTTATAGATTTTTCTACGAATTCGTAAATATTTTGTAGAAATACCACTCATTTTGTAATTTTTTTCAAAAATCTACAAACACAAAACTTGTTAGAATTAGACACAATTCTTTGTGACACTTACAAAAAGACGAGTATCACTTTAGGTAGAATTGGGATGGCGGTTGTGCGGGTGCACAACAGTTATTGTTGTGTAGACAAATGGGTTCATTTCATGACTTATTTCAATAATCCGAACTATTTACATTTTAGAATACATCAAGTATAACATATCTGTAAAAAAATTCAGTTAATCGAATATTGTTTACCCATTCATCCACTCACATTTGTATTTACAAAAATAAATAATAATTGTGAACGGTTCGGATTATTAAAATGAGCTCCAAAATAGGCCCATTTGTTTGCACAACAGTGGCTGTTGTACACTCTCGCAAAGCAACCACCCCAAATCCCTTCGTGTAAGAGAGTTATGTTTAATTCTATTCTTAGGCTTCGTTTGGGAATAGACTATTTTAATTTTTTATGAAAAGATATACAAAAAAATAGAGAGGGAATGTGACAACTTATATTAACTTTTTAACATTTTGACTAAAACTGAAGGTTGCCAACGAGACCTTAATTTCCGTACAAATATAATAAGTGTTTTCATATATATTCTAACTCGAGGCACCTTACTATGGAACAAAACACACACACACACACTAGTCTTACCATTAAAAAATGGAGGGTCGAGTGAAGCTCATCATGGTTCACATTCTCTTCGTCTTCTTCTTGTCGCTCTCTTCTTTCACTGTAAGAACTAACTAACGTCTCTTCATTCTCTTCTAATTCCTTTTCTCTTTATCTTCATCTATCTTTTTCTGATTTTTCTGTCTCTATAGGTTTCATTATCAGCAACAAGTTCAAGAAGATCGCATTCATTAACCACAAAAGAAAACCCATTCACACCAAAAGCTTCACTGATTCGCTTTTGGAACAACCACATCTCCACCAACCTCCCCACCCCTCATTTCCTCCTATCCAAAGCCTCCCCTCTCTCAGCCACCACGGCGGCGCATTTCACCAAACTCGCCGCCCAAAACGCCCTCTCCTCCCACCTCCCCTCCTTCTGCTCCGCCGCCAACCTCTTCTGCCCCTCCTCCTCCACCACTGCACCACCACTAACCACCCAAAATGACTCCAACTTCGCTTCCTACTCCAACAAACACTTCACCACCTACGGTACCGCCGAGCTCGGCGGCGCTGCCACCTTCAAAAACTACTCCGACGGCATTAACTTCGCAGCCCATTCATTCTCTCGCTACGGCCGAAGCGCCACCGGCCATAACGAGAGTTTCGCGAGCTATGCCACCGACGGGAACGTTGCGGATTCCAACTTCTCCTCCTATGGTGCTGACGCCACAGGCGGCTCCGGCGAGTTTCAAAACTACCAATCTCAAGTCAATGTTCCGAATCTTCTATTTGCTAGCTACGATTCTGATGGAAACGATCATAAACTCTCTTTTTCAAAGTATACCGAGGATACGAATTCGGGAAGCGAAGGGTTTATTAACTATGGCAAGAATGGCAATGGGGTGCCTGCTGAGTTTACTGCTTATGGAGAAAAGTCGAACATTGTGGGGTCCACATTTTTAGGGTATGGGGATTTGGGTAATGCTGCAAATGATTCATTTAAATCTTATAGTTCTAATTCCAATAACCCTAATAATAATTTCAAGAGATATGGTAGTGGTGGTGCTCTATCTGCCATTGATAGCTTCTCCAGCTATCGCGATGGAGCTAATACTGGTAAAGATAACTTTCAATCTTATGTGAAGAATTCAAATTCGGGAAAAGTAAGTTTTTCAAATTATGGAAAGACGTTTAATGGAGGGATTGATTCATTCAAAGAATACGGCAAAGGATCGATGGGTCACTCGATTGGATTCAAAGTATATGGAGCTAACATTTCATTCAAAGATTATGCCAAAAAGGGTGTTGAATTTGCTCAGTACACCAATTCAAGCTCTAGCACTAATGGTCAAATGGAGGTCAGTGGCAAATCTGTAAATAGTTGGGTAGAGCAGGGCAAATTCTTCCGGGAGGCCATGTTGAAAGAAGGAAATATCATGAAAATCCCCGATATTCAGGATAAAATGCCGGAAAGGTCGTTTTTGCCCTCGGGAATTTTGTCGAAAATACCTTTCTCAAAGAATCAAATCTTGGAACTGAAGCGCATCTTCCATGCCTCGGACGGCTCTACTCTAGAAAGCGTGATGGTCAACACCCTTTCGGAGTGCGAGCGAAGCCCGAGTCCCGGTGAGACCAAGCGGTGTGCCAGCTCGGCTGAGGAGATGATCAATTTTGCCGTCTCAATCTTAGGCAGCAATCTGGTGGTTCGTACAACTGAGAATGTGAACGGATCAAATCAGAGGGTGATGTTAGGAGAAGTGAAAGGAATCAATGGTGGAAAAGTGACGAAATCGGTGTCATGTCATCAGAGCTTGTATCCATACTTACTGTATTACTGCCACTTTGTCCCAAAAGTCAAGGTCTACGTGGCCGATATTCTTGACGTGGAGACTAAGGTTAAGATTAATGATGGTGTTGCCATTTGTCATGTTGACACGTCAGCTTGGAGTCCAGGTCATGGAGCATTTGTGGCACTGGGGTCTAGCCCTGGACTCATTGAGGTGTGCCATTGGATATTTGAGAATGACATGACTTGGACCATTGCTGATTGACCACAAAAAAATTGATCTCTATATATGTTGGTTCAATAATTTATTTTATTTTTGAGATGTTGGTTTAATGTTTAAATATCAAATTCATCTCAATTTTTCCAATGAAGTTTTTGATGATTTGAAAAAGAAGAAGAAGTAATGATACAGAAATAAATTTTAAAAAATTTATTTAGAATGATGGGTATTTAATTTGAAATATGAAGAACATAAAATTCCACATACTTTTGAATGGGAATCAATACAGGAAATTACACATTTGGTGACTAAAATATTAGTTGCCAAAGCCCATTTTTTTGGTCGCCGAAAGTCAATGGCGACTAAAAGTTTTTGTTGCCCAGGTCTTCTGTCGGCGATAGTATTGGCAACTAAAATTTGTTTAGTCGCTAATTTAAAACTTTAGGCTACTAAACTTTTATTAGTCGCCAAAGGTAACCTTTTGATGATTAAAATATTAGTCGAAGAAAGTTCTCACATAAAAATAAATTTAGCTATTGGAGATTAAAAGTTTTAGTTGCCAATAAAAAAAAATTCACAAATAATAATACATTTAGTGACTAAACGTTTTAGTCGCTGATAAATAATACATTTAGAGATCAAATAGTTTAGTCATTGGATATTTTCATTTCATTTTTTTTTTCACGACCAAACATTTTAGGCATCGAAGGATGCCATGTTTTTTTGTGACTAAAATATTTAGTTGGCAATAATTTCTTCCCTCATTTTGATTTGTTTTGGCTACTAATTGTTTAGTTGCCAAAAGCCATTTGTTTCTTTTTTACTACAGTAAAACCTTTGCTTGCATTTATAGCTACCAACATTTAGTCGCCAAAAACTTTATAATTTTTTTAAAAATTTAATTTCTCAAGCACCTATATTTATTCAATTATTAGTGCAACATGTATCCCGTGTATGAACAAAATAATCATTGAATACTGATTATATTAGCAATCACTTGACAACGTGCACATATTTCACTTCCAACCAACCAAGAAATTCATATTTAACGTCAAATTCTAAATATAATAAAAATTCCATACAAATCAAGTATAATCCAACCTCAAAAATATAATTCCATATATAACAAATGATTAACCAAATTTAACATCCAAAAGGAAATCTATACCATGCCAAAAGAGTAATCTGTACCATACCAAAAAATTAATCTATACTGCATCAAAAACTAATTTGTATCACGTTCAAAGGTAATATGTACCACGCCAAAAAAATAATTTGTACGAACAATTATAAGGACGGAGTATAAAAACAATGTCTTATGTACTTGTCAAAAAAAGTTGTATCCACAATTTCACGTCAAAAACCATCTGTAAAAATAAAATTAACCATTAGTATTGACTTAATATTGACATATTTAAAATTATAAAAAAAACATATAAAACTCGAATTTAATTAATCTTTTCAAATTAATCATTAGTTTTGCATATTCGAACATATATGAAAGAAAAATATATAAAACTTGAACGCATATATTAGGCAACCAGTAATATTTTACAAGTAATCATTGTACATAATTAATATGTATTTTTTCATTTTTGGGCCCCTAGCACCATTTTTGACTAAGTTTATGACATTTTTTACTCTAACTCCCAATCTACGTATCCCTATTTACGTACTATCTATCCTTACAGTTCACATTTGGCACGGGGAAGCTACCTGTTACATCACAACAATGGTTGCAGGGCTGTTTTGCATTTTGGCCCTGGAACGTCTTTTTTCGACTAAGTTTATGGTATTTTTTACTCTAATTCTCAACTTACGTGGTCTTATTTACGTACTGTATGTCTCTACAGGTCACATTTGGCACAGAGAAGTTGCCCGTTACATCACAACAGTGGTTGGGGGGCTATTTTTCCTTTTTGGTCCCCAAACACATTTTTTCGACTAAGTTTAAGGCATTTTCGACTCTATCTCCCAACCTACATGTCCTATTTACGTACCATCTGTCCCTACAGGTTACATTTGGCATGAGGAAATTGCCCATCACATCACAATAGTGGTTGGGGGGCTGTTTGCATTTTCGTCCCCTGAACGCCTTTTTTTCAACTAAGTTTAAGGTATTTTTAACTCTAACTCCTAACTTACGTGTTTTATTTACATACCATCTGTCCATACAGGCCACATTTGGCATAGGGAACATTCCAAATGTACTGGAACATTCCAAATCATTAGTATAATAAAAAAACCCAAAAAACAATTAAATTAAATTCAGGAAAGTGGGTAAGATTTGCCTCCTTGGAGTATGTATGCATTATTGAAGATCATGTTATTTTGTCTCATATTCATGGTGCAACATGTCATTCATTTATATAATATACACATAGGACATAGTAAATAATATCGCAAGATGATTACGACTGATGAATATCATATGAAGTCCATTATTTTATTTTGGTAATTGAGAAATAACATGAGAGGTGACATTTTGTTATTAATTGGTGGATGGTCACATGGGGATAAAAATACATTTGTCTAGGGGTTCGAAATTTTAAAGGTTGGAGCCGCTCTAATAGTTATCAATTTCAATATTCAATTTTTGTGTACTTGTCAAGAAAGAGGCTGAAGCTTCGTGCTTTTGGTACGTGGATAGCAATTGGGAGTTCTAATGCATAGCCATGTGCTTCCTTTTTGGGGTAAAATGTCTGAAATTGGTCTACTGGAATACATTTGTTTGGGTCCAGAGTAATTAGATTGGAGTTCCAAAAGTTGTGCTAGCTCGTAAACTTTTATTCAATAATTTGTTTGGGTCTAGAGTAATTAGATTGGTGTGGCCCTTCTGTTTCTTTATAATAGATGGTACATACAACAAATGTAGAGTTCAACGTGTTCTTTAGGCAGAGCAGTGGAAAATATTCTCTACATCAACACATGAATATTAATTGTATCATATTTCTAGTTGGAATTTGTGTAGGCTTCTATGATGCTATGCTACACGAAGCATTGGCCAACTTAATTGTTAACGGACAAAGAAGTGATGTTGCTAGTAATACTTCTAAACAATGATGTAATAAGTATGTATTGAAAACAAGGAAAAAGAGGCAAACCCCACTGGGGGTGACCCCCAGGACCCCCAGTGGGGTGTGATTGGTGGATAATTTTTTTTTTTTTTTTTTCCTTGGTCCACAGCCTCCCATGTGGAGGTGGGGGTGCTTGGGGTCACCCCCCACTGGAGGTCCCCAGCACGACTGTGAAAACAATACATTGGAGGCTTGGATTGATATCAGGGTTGGAAATGTTACAGTTGACGAGATGTATCTAAAATGTTGTAATGTGTAATCACTTGAGCTAGAATGTTGTATTGCATGATTAAGGCCTGGTTTGAGAGAATGTCTAGTGATCCCAACAATAAATGTGTACATCCTGTTTAAATCTTCTTTGTTGGTGGTTAAGCCTTATGAAAATTCTTTGAATTTCTTTTATAACATGGTCGATCAAAAAAAAAAAAAAAAAGAGGAGAAAATGAAGGGGAAAGGGATGGAAGGGATGGGAAGAGTAGAGATTCCACCTCCTTAATAGAGGAAATGGATGGCCATAGAGCTCTTCCAGGAAGGATGGAGCTCTTCCTTAATGGAGCTTCGCCCATGGGGCATTTCACACTTTGTTATATTGACCAAAGACTCCTCTGCTATTTTTTCCCTTCGCCCATGGGGCATTTCACACTTTGTTATATTGACCAAAGACTCCTCTGCTATTTTTTCCATACCGTATGAAACATTCTAAGGACGGAGGTATAGAGGACAGAGTAGAGATTCCACCTCCTTAATAGAGGAAATGGATGGCCATAGAGCTCTTCCAGGAAGGATGGAGCTCTTCCTTAATGGAGCTTCGCCCATGGGGCATTTCACACTTTGTTATATTGACCAAAGACTCCTCTGCTATTTTTTCCACACCGTATGAAAAATTCTAAGGACGGAGGTATAGAGGACCAATTACCCCATGGGTTTTGGAATTTTTTTTTTTTAAAAAAAAAAAAAAAATTAGTTAAGCCCTCAAACACACTTAAATTCAGGAATTAATTAGAATTACATGAATGAAATTGCAAGATTACAAACTCTAATTATGCATTGACACCGACTCTATATTCTAAATATCAATTATAGGAATCAATTTGATATTTGTAGTTGTTAAGTGTGTTTGAGGGCATAAATAAAGCAAAATAGATGTAGAACAAACACTGTTCTAATGGTGTTCAAGTGGTGAAAGTCCAGAGAGCAATCCAAGCACCACTCGAGCAATATGGGTTGATTTGGGGTTGGGTGTGAAGGTATATGCGAATGGAAAAAGACATAGAGAGGGAGAGAGAGAGACATAGAGAGAGAGAGAAAGAGAGAGAGGGCGAAATAGAGGACATACCTGCCCGAGACAAAGTGACGATGGTGCTAACCTTTGTGGTGGTGCTCTAGTAACAGAGAGGAGGGCAGAGGCGTGAGGCGTGAGAGAGAGAAAGAGAGAGAGAGAGAGAGAGAGTCACACAGAAGCGTGGGTAAGTTGAATTGACCTTGGACTTATTCCCGACCATTCTCTATTAGTTGCCAATAATGAAAAGACTCGTTTCCCCCCTCGACAAACTCAAAATTTAGTCGCTAATTCATTTAGGAATCCCTTCAAAATTAGAAATCTTACCTCCAAAAATTTAATTACAATTGCCGACCAAATTTTAGTCGTTAAAAGTAAGAGAAATATTGACTAAATTACTTTTAGTAGCTAAAGATTATTGGTTTTAGGGACTAAAGTTTTTTATAGTCGCCCAAAATCTTATTTTCAACATCTAAAACTCAATTAGTCGCCAAAAGTAAAATAACTACCGACTAAATTATTATTAGTAGCTAAAGATTGTACATTTAGGGACCAAAATTGTTGTTTAGTCACCCAAAATCTTATTTTCAACAACTAAAACTAAATTAGTTGCCAAAAGTAAGAGAAATACCGACTAAATTATTTTTAGTAGCTGAAGATTGTACCTTTTCTGGCCAGTTTTTTTTTTAGTAGCTAAAGTGTGTATCTTTGGCGACTAAATTTTTTTTAGTCAGCATTTTTTGTTGCCGAATGTGTAATTTCCTATAGTGAATTCATTTACGAAAATATTATGTCAATGTTTTTTGTGCCTAATTACAGGTTTGTAATTGTTTATTTGATTAGAAATAACTTGGCATTTGGTTGTTTTTATCTTGTCAAAATCAGACTCTTGTATAGGTTTTTTTTTGGTGGTCATTGTTGGATCACCTTCATCTTTCTTAGGTTGCATATTTATTTATTTTTTAATTTTAATACAATTTACCTTTCACAAAAAGAAAGAAAGAAAACAAAGGATAAACATGGATTTCGTACAAGTATTGAAACAAAATAGTTTTTGTACTTGTGGACACGTGTATGGATGGGGTTAAAAGGAAGTCACACCTAGGCCTAGGTGTGAATACTTTTGATTCCTTTGCCGAATAGTGTGATACACGTGTCACGTTTCTGGTGGTTTGCGTGGTTGTGAAGTAAAGATATTTTCAGAATGGTTGACATAAAGCAAAGGCGGGAAAATTATTATGCTTTTGAATTATTTTGAATGAAGAATCTTCGTCCTTACACGCATGCCACTTTTGCTATTTATTTGGTACCATAAAACATTTGATGGTAGAGAGGAATATGCTTTTGCAGTGAGATAGCTATTGTAGTGACGTTGTTTTCTGGTACCTTGTTTCGTCCCTCCTTTTCTGTCTTTCTTTTTTGTTGATTGTATTGGTATACAATGTTGTACTCCTTAAAAGAGTATCCTGGGAATTACAGGAAGTTCACTCAAATGTGTGTAGATAATTTTTTGACGTGGCAAATAGAACTTTAGGAAAAGAGTCGACGGTCAGCTCCGGTGAGGTTTGCTCCAGTGTATGAGGAGTAGAGGAAAAAAATATCAAAGATAAGATGTCTGAATAGTAGGGCTAGCAGAAGTAAGAGAATTTTTAAAATTTGTAGGATAAAAGATTTGGAATGTTTTATCAAAAATGGAAGGAGTAGTAAGCAGCCAGTATTGGACTCCCATTGCGTATCAAAGGTCAAGGACACCGGCGAACAGTGAATATAAATGTAGTTACCATGGTCGTGCACCTTTTAAGGCGGCGTATGTACGCATGCGGTACGTTCAGAATATTTCCCGATATATTAAGAAGACTAAGAGGGGAGTAAGGAAGTTGCAACTATATGCTGAACAATTAAAGGACGCTAAATTTGATAATAAAGGCGTGGCGACATTGCTTAATGGTATTGAGTTGGGTAATAAAAGATCTAATCGTCAATTAGACAAGATCGTGATTAAGGGTATAAAATTAATTGGGAATGTTCAATTGGGACAAAATGCTAAAGACGAAGTTGTGGTCCACCATGTATTATTTTTTGTCATAAATGATAACAGTTCGTCAGATTCCGTCCCCACACCTAACAATATATTTATTGGAGTTGGTGAGGGTAATCCTAAGACCTGGATTATTGATCCTAACTAGTCCGACCGGTTTCGGATACTAAAAGAAATGAGATTCAAGCTCGTTGGTGGCAAGGATAAATAGTACGTTCGTTACGGAATAGAAGTTATGGATTGGTTCTTCCCAGTTGATATTTGGATAGACTACAAAGATACGCTGTTGGGAAATGTTGGAAGTATTCAGAAGGGTGTCACATATTTAGTGGTTATTACTGTTAGTGGAAAAGAATGCAAAATTACGTTATGGAGTCAAATGTATTTTAAAACTGTTTAGAATTATAATTTTATGTATTTTTATTTGTAATGTTGAGGTGAATGGAGGTAGATTATATAAAAACTGGTGTTGTTGACGGTGTTTCAGCAAGTGATTTCAGTTGTACTGAATTTGCTTTGCCTAAATTATTTTCTCAGTTGAGGTTGGGATACAAACAAAAGAATATTAATGTTGATAAAATATTGATAAAGTATTTTCCCCTTTGTGCACCCAATGCCAGTGGGTTGGTCAAAGTAAATGTGTATGATTGGAGGTTAGATGATAATGACAGTTTGCAGGTGTATTTTATTTTCCTTGTGGATTGTCAATGCGAGTTAGTGTATCATGGGAATGGTTGTTGTTCCATTAACGACAAACAAGTGCCATGGATAGTGAAGTATCGACTTGAAAATTCTAATATTAAAAGGGGTATTACGTATTGTAAAATGAAGGGGTATTTGAAGTATTCTACGAGTAACATACTAGAAGATTCGCAAATGAGGGCCCTATCTATTGTTGTATTATCTAAAAAATATACTAGTGATAATGTTGATGTTTGGCATTGTGCTTTGACCAAGGCTATTCCAATTCTGACACGGATTATGTCTGTGGGTTTACGGAAGAGGCGAAGAAATTTTTTTTTAGGAGGTTTTGAAGAAAGTGGTTCAGTTATTCATGAACGCAGAGGTCATCTGAGTTTGTCTGAGATTGATGTACGCAGAGGTGGTGATGGTGCTAGTGATGTTGATCCTGGTCCGTTGATTTCGGAGGTCGGTGCTGCTAGAAAAGACGATGTTGATCGGAGCGGATCAATTGTTATGGACCTTGCAGAATTTACTGATGTTTTACAAAATGTAATAATCAATGTAAAAAATAATGTTGTGACTCAAGATGTAATAGTTGATAATAAGAGAAATGTAGCAAGTAAATAAAAATTTGAATGGTTTCGTAAATAAAATTAATAGAATTTTTCATTAATCATGACAGTTGTTATATTTACATCAAACTATTCTCTCATTTTTGGGGATAATACATCTAACCAACTACTGTCCCTATTAGTGAATATAATACAAGGAATTCCTCCTCTAATAGTGAGATTTGGTTAGAATTTAACAAATACATGGAAGTCAACCTACTAAATTCTTCATTAATTCGTAGGAACTGTCGAGTATTTGATGTCGTCTACGACGTTGTAGATGGCGCCTTGATTGTAGTCCTTGAAGCTTATTCTGCCAGAGAAGTATTGTGTCGTCTGAGACTTCTGGCCCAGGCAATTTTTCCTGTTCTTGAGGGTACTTCGAGGTAGAGGGAGATTGGGTTGATGGGCTGCCGTTCTGGATCCTGTTATCAGATGAGGAGGAGAGTTCTTTGTCAATATATAAATTGTTGATATTATTTTTGTGTATCCCTAATCTGATCCAGTCGTCTTCCCTCTAAACGGAGAGACAACAATTTTGACATAACTTGTATTGTACAAAATTTTGTAACGAACGTACTCTTTGTCCTTGCCACCAACGAGCTTGAATCTCATGTTCTTTAGCATCCAAAACTGGTCGGACTAGTCAAGATTAACAATTTAGGTCTCAAGATTACTCTCACCAACTCCAATAAATATCTTGTTAGGTGTGGAGACGGAATCTGACGGACTATTATCACTTATGACGAAAAACAATACGTGGTGGACCACAGAGTCTTTAGCACCTTGTCCTAATTGAACATTCCTAATTAATTTTATACATTTAACCACAATCTTGTCTGATTAATGGTCAGATCTTTTATTATTTAACTCAATACCATTAAACAATCTCGCCACACTTTTATTATCAAATTTAACGTCCCTTAATTGTTCATCGTACAGTTACAACTTTCTTACTCCCCTCTTAGTCTTCTTAATATATTGGGGAATATTCTGAACGTATTGTCAATTTGTTATTTACAAAAAAGAAAAGCAATTTTTTGTTTTTCTTTTGTAAAAATAAAAAAAAATATTTAGCATATACAAATATTTTGAAAATAAATAAATATATATATATATATATAGTGAATTGTTGAAAGTGGTAGTTGGTGGTGGAAGGTAGGGAGTCCAGATCCTCTGCTGCCTTTCCCTGAGGCTGTTCTTGCGGTGGCCCAAAACGACGTCGTTTTGGGGCAAAATTTCAAAAAAAAAAAAAAAACACAGAATCAGAAATCATAAATGAGAAAAAGGAAAAGAAAAGATAAAATGGAGATGAGATGGAAGTGTAATTGGCGTTGTGGTGTTGCTAAAGCCTTGTATCAGAATAGATTCATCTATATATATAGAGTAATTTTTTTAGGATGTTTGAGGACTTCTTAAGTATTTGTTCAATAATTTATTTTTTTCGCTGTTAAGGGTGATTGATTAATGTTACTTGTGAATCGAATGAAAAGCACCATGAGTCTAATTTTCGTTCAAGTATTTTCTAGCTCAATTAAAACAATCAATAATAAATTCGCTTTTCTAGCTCAATTCAAACAATCAATAATGAACACATAAATAATGATTTAAAATTGAAGAACTGAATTATTAAAATGTGATTTATGAACATTTTTTTTAATTTAAATTTTGAGTGTGATGAGAAAATGACATTAAAATAACAATTTAAAATTGAAAAGCTCAATTGTTATAATTAGAATTTAAGAAATTAAAAGTTAAATTTGAATAAAAATAAATTTACTATTATTATTATTATTATGAAAAATAACACAATAGCTTTAGAAAAACATGTGTTATACTCTCTCATCAATCACTATTCATTTTGCCTCTTTATGTTCTTCAATCACTCCATACACTAATTATATTATTATAGAGTATCATGTAACCGTATTCTGGGACCATTAGGACTGTAAACGAGTCAAATTGAACCGAATTTTAATACGTTTGGATTTGTTTATTAAAGATTTTAACGAGTTTGAATTCAAATTTAATAAAAATTTAAGGAACCAAA